GGGCAACAAAGTGCAACCTCCTGCCTCGATGAAAAATACAAATATTAGCTGGGCGTGGTGGCGCACACCTGTAGTCCCAGCTACTCATCTGAGGCAGGATTCATTGAGCCAGGGGGTCATGGCTGCAGTGAGCTGTGATAGTGCCACTGCACTCCAGCCTGGGCAACAGAGCAAGACCCTGTCTCCAAAAAACAAGTGCAAATAACGACGGGGACATGTTCCGGAATAGAGGGGTGGCACATCAGGCCATTCTGTTGAAGTCAGCTTGGGGGAAGTGAGTTGTCGTGGAAACTGTCGTAAAAATCAGGGTAGTTTCTCCTACAAATTTATTTTTGTAGACCCCATGTCTACAAAAATAAAAAAAATAAAAATAATTATCAGGGTGTGGGTGTGTGCAGTCCCAGATACTCAGGAGGCTGAGGCTGGAGGGTTGTTTGAGCTCAGGAGTTCGAGGCTGCAGTGAGCTGTGATCGCACCACTGCACTCCAGCCTGGCAGATGGAGTGAGACCCTGTCTCTAAAAAAAAACAAACAAACAATGGGGCCAAGTGAGGTGGCTCACACCTGTCACCTCAGTACTTTGGGAGACTGAGTGAGGTGGCTGGATCATTTGAGGTCAGAAGTTCGAGACCAGTCTGACCAACATGATGAAACTCTGTCTCTACTAAAAATACAATAAATTAGCCAGGCATGGTGGCGTGCACCTGTAATCCCAACTACTAGGGAAGCTAAGGCAGGAGAATTGCTTGAACACTGGAAGTGGAGGTTGCAGTGAGCCAAGATGACACCCCTACACTCCAGCCTGGGTGACAGAGCAAGACTCTGTCTCAAATAATAAAATAATAATACATTCCTTCTCCCTTTGGGGTCCTCTCTGCACATCAGCTCTCCTTGTAGACTCTTCTTTCAGCAACTTGCCTTGAGTCACAGTTGGCATCAAGAGCTCATATTTCTGGGACCAGGTGCCATCTTACCGACTTGTTCTTTGGGTCCCAATTCCAAAGTCCAGGGAGACAGAATCCGTTGGCCTCCTTGGTGCTCTGTCTGGTCCAATCAGTAAAGCCAGGTGTCTCACGGGGCTGGCGCGGGAGGTGGTTATGAAGCATGATGATGAAGTGGAGGATTGTGGTTGCTCCAGTTCCATGAAAATATGTCATGCTTACACATCAGATCCATGTGGCGGGATGGTGACAGCTTCTCTCTTGGAGCAGACCTGAGATCCTTCTAGTCCAGAGATTGTCACCTCAGGATAGTTCTGCTCCCCACCCAGGGGACACTAGACAGTGTCTGGAGGCATTTTGGGTTGTTATGACTGAGCAGGGTGGTGCTCCTGGTGTCTCTACTGAGTGGAGTCCAGAGATGCTGTTTAACACCCTACAGTGCAAAGGATGTTTCTACTTTAGAGAATGATCCAGCACCATCAACTATGTTGATAGTGCAGAGGGTAAGAAACCTTGCCTTAGCACGAGAGACCCTATCCATTCATCCATCCATCAATCCCTCCCTCCCTCCCTCCTTCCATCATCTCTATCATCATCCATCCATCCATCCATCCATCCATCCATCAATTCATCATCTCAACCTTTCATCCATCCATCCATTGTCTCTATCTTCCATCCATCCATCCATTGTCTCGATCTTCCATCCTTCCATCCATTCTCTCTAAATTCTATCTACCCTTCCATCTGTCATCTCTATTTTCCCTTTACTCATCATCTCTGTCTTCTATTCATCCATCCATCCATCCACCCATTATCTCGATCTTCCTTCCATCCATCATTTCTGTCATCTATCTATCCATCCACTCTATTCTTTCTTCCACCCATCATCTCTGTCTTCCATCCATCCATCCAATCATTCATCCACCCATCATCTCTATCTTCCATCCGTCCATTCACCCATCATCTCTATCTTCCAGCATCAATCCATCCACCTATCATCTATATCTTCCATCCATCCATCCACCCGTCATCTCTATCTTCCATCATCTGTCCATCCACCCATCATCTCTATCCATCTATCCGTCCGTCCATCCACCCATCATCTCTATCTTCCA